TGTCAACTTGCAGACTGGGGAGAAAACAATGGGAAATTTTAATTTTTTTAAATTTATTTGATGATATATATTCTAGGATGAATTCCAAACGGGGAGTGCAAGAGGAAGGAAAACTAGGGAGGGTAAATGATGAGATTTTTCATTGAAATTGAAAATGAAAATGAAATTGCCATAAATAGAATGACAGTAGCACAATTAAAATAAAGCAACAGTGCTTTGGATATGCCACATTAGCTAATGATTGTTGGGTAGAATATCATTGATATCTTGGAGGGAGGTGGATCATCTTTCGAGGTCTTTAAACAGAGGTTGAATTGGCATCTTTCAGGAATTATTTAACAGTGTATTCCTGCATGGTAGGAAGTTGGACGAAACGGCCCTTGTGGCCCCTTTCAACTCTTAAGATTCTATGGCTGCAACCTCACTGCAGATATAATCCGGTTTCACCACATTAGCTGCCATGGCTCAATGCTATGGAATCCTGGGAATTGTAGTTTGTTGTGGCATCAGAATTCTGACAGAGAAGGCTAAATGTCTCCCAAAACTACAATTCCCAGAATTCCATAGCATTGAGCCATGGCAGTTAAAGTGGGGTCAAACTGGATTATTTCTCTAGTGCGGATGCAGCCTATGATAGTCCAAAACTCCAGTCAGTAACACCTGGTACACTGTGATTGTGGTGGTGATGACAAGGATATATGTTCTACTTAAGGTTATGTTTTGCTGCATTACAGTTACCTATCTGCGGTCACATCTGCTTTAAAAAGTATCCAAAAATTATCCAAAATAATGTAAAGTAAGTGTTGGAAGGCTATTCTCCTCAAGCAAGGAATTCGATATTGTAGTTCCAGCAACATCTGGAGAGCCACATGATTTCCACTCGAATGTAAGAACAAGAGCAGTGATTCCTAAACTTTCCTCCTCCAGATATTTTGGACTTCAGCTCTCAGAATTCCTTACTTTTGACCAAACTGGCTGGAGGACCGAAGTTTGGGAATCCCTAAGCTTGATCCTTTTAAATTCACCTGATGATCAGACCAACAAGAGGAGGGGGGAACAACCCAACCACACATACACTCCTTAATTCATTGCCTTTGTGAGTGAATTGCTATTCAGCAAAGCCACAGCTGTCCCACTCTGCTGAACTTGGGTAGGTTTGGTTTGGTGAAGGCTGAAGGGCAAGTTGTGCGAAAATGTGTAGGAGAGGCTAAGAAAAACATCCCAGCTTCAGAAGTGAGATGAGGCTGGGCTGGAGAGAGTGGGAGTTGAGGTAATCTCTGTCTTTTGGGGAGACGGGAGAGTGTTTGCGGTTAGATCACATTCCTCATTCTGTCTTCACAGGAATTAAGCTGTGGAGCCTGGCAGAGAAGTCAGAGGTAGAGAAAGCCATGCCATGCCAGCCTGGCAGCAAGGATCTTGGAATGGCTTTGGTCAAAGGATTGGCATGGCTTTCGGCATCCATTCTGCCAGAACTGGGAAGCCAGGGATCTGAAGCTGTTTTAAAAACAGAAGTACCGTTGTTGTTGTATTTTCTTATGGGTATGCACATAACTTAGAAATATTCCTTCTTTGGAGCAAAACTCCTAGAATTCACAGCCAGCTGTCTTGGGGATTCTGGAAGTTGGAGTCCAAAGAAGTAACATTTCACAAGCTTCCCCCCCCCCTTTTTTTTTTTTTTTTACATATCTAGTCTCTTTCTGGGAGGTGGGCAAGGGTAGGTTGGCTTAAAGAAACGGTAGCAAAACTACAAAACAACAGTAGAGATAATGCAAATATTTAGGAAAGAAAACAGCATTTTATTAGTTTGGATTGAAGCTCCAGCAGAGATCATGAACACTGTATAGTTGTGAAGTCGTAGGCCTTCATGGCCGGCATCCATAGTTTTTTTGTGGGTTTTTCGGGCTGTGTGGCCATGTTTTTCCAGTTTTTCCAGTTTACCAGTTTTCCAGTTTTCTCTGAAGATGCCAGCCATAGATGCTTCTAGAACTGTATAGTTGCATTGTTCATGCATTAGGTTAATAAGAGAAAGAGCTGATGGGCTGCATCAAAGAGAATTAAAAGGGACTTTTTTGACTGTGAAAGAGAGGGGAGATCTCTAATGAAAGACAGGCAAAGACTAAAGGAGGAACTATCAAAGGCAAAAGGACAAAAGTGGTAGGAACAGGAGAGGGACTGTGAATTGCTTTTATTGGAATCTGACAATGGAGCAAGGTTGGGAGAACCCATCTAGTGGTCGCAAACTGGATTATTTCTGCAGTGTGTTTTGGCCCATGATCAAGTTATTGGTAAGCATTGTAGTGAATTTTGGAATTGTTGTTAGCATCATGGCTAAATGTTAACAACTGTCCAGTGGAGAGAAAGAGGCCAATTGTATTAGCAATTTTGTAATATAGTTGTTGTGTGTCTTCATGTTGTTTCTGACCTATGATAATCCTAAAGCAAACTTATTATGCAAGATTTGTTTTGAGGTTTTTTTGCCATTGCCTTCCTCTCAGGTTGAGAGTCTGTGACTTGCCCAAGATCACCCAATGAATTTCCATGGCTGAGTAGGGATTCAAATCTTGGTCTCCCAGAGTCCTAGTCCAACAGTCAGACCACTATGCCATGCTGGCTTTCTGACTTTGGAAGATATTTTTCACTAATTTGGCAGTTTGAGGCTGCAAAAAGTTATGAAATCTGGAACCGAAGTGGTGGAATGAATTTTCCTCTGCTGCTAATCTGCTGTACAATTCTCATAGCTATGAGAGGAGAGATGGGTCATGCTTGTGCACCTTGGTTTTCTTTGTTTGCTTCTGCACTATACAACCCTTAGTAGCCCATTTTCCATCAACCCCAGCCTGGGAGCTTCTACACTGTAAAAATAATGCAGTTTGACACATTGTTAAGTGCGCTAGTTCCATCCTATGGAATCCTGGGATTTATAGTTTTACAAGGCCATTAACCTACTCTGCCAAAGAGTGCTGGTGCCTCTCCAAATTACAAAGCCCAAATTTTGGAGCCATGGCAGCTAAAGAGGTGTGAAACTACATTATTTCTATAGTTTAGATGCCCCCATAGTACCATAATATGATGAAAACATAATTAAAAAGGTGATTAAAAAAGAAACACACATTAAACAATACAAAATCATTTTTAAAACACAGAAAAGTTAAACTAGAGTAGCTACCCACTCACCCCATAGCAAGGCTCCTTGTGAACAATTAGTCATTAAAATCCTAGTAGTTAAACAAGGAGGTCTTTTCCTGGCTTGGCTTAGGCACACTCCCTAACGTAATGGGTTTGATAACCTGCATCGTGTGATGTACCAGGTTTGCAATGACCTGGTCACAGATAGTACACTGATTTAATGCTTCACCTTCTTCATTCACCTTCAGTGGTAGCAGTGCAGAGATTGATAAATGTAACTGTTATGGTTAAACACCTGGGATTTTTCATCATTTACCCTCCCTAGTTTTCCTTCCTCTTGCACCCCCCCCTCCAGCAAGCTCTGAGCACGACTTTTTTTTAAGAAAAAGAATTTGGGGGGATTTTCTCAGACTGTGTCAGATGGCAAAGTCAAATATAAATGGGAATCAAGGGGAACTAGAAGCTAATGGCCAGAATTCGTTTGCATAACATCGGGCAGTTGCCTTATGTTCTTGATGAGCTCATTAATACTCAAGGACATAATAGGGCAGGGCATTGCCTGCAGATCCATACAGCTAGTTAAAAATGTTTTGCTGGTAAAAGGTGAAAAAAGAAATAATTGGGAGAGGTTGGGCCTTGGCAGACGGCTTAAAAAGCCGTCCTCGGTGCAGGGAAGGGGAGGGGCAGCCGGACGCACG